GTCACTTACAGGGTAGTACATCCCTTGCGGAGGAAGAAAAAACGCCCCAGAGCCCCACAGTTTGAGGCCGTTTTGCTCCACCGTTGTGCGAGAAAACAAATCCAACACTCCGTATCTCCTCCCCCTCCGATCCACCGCTCCTCCTCCTCCACCCTCTGCTCCTTCGATGCCTCTTTCTCGCCCCTGTTGTCTCCTTCTCTTTCACGGTTTCGTGCACTGTACCCGCCGACGACGTTACCCGGCGTGTTTCTCTCTTTTTGTCCCACGTATGTACGTGTATATACGTCGAATTTGTGGTACGGCTACCGTGTGTACACACGTATATTGTGTACGGACACGAACACACACAAGCCTACTCTCTTGTAACAAAGAGAGAGAGAGAAAGAGGATCGGTACGATGATGTTTTTGCACGCACACACGAACACTGGCGCGCGCGCGCCCTAGCCTCACAATCACTAGAGAACAGCGAACCGAGACGAGGTTAAAACTCTTTCACGCGCACACGATCGAGCGGGACCCACGGACGACGACACGACGACGAGACCACGAACGCCCGCGAACGTTCTGCGTACTTTGTTTCTTTCTCCTTCGTTGTCCTCACATCCACCTCCTCCTACTCCCTCGACAGCACTCTCTTTCTCCTCGATCGGTCTCTCTGTCTTTCTTCAGCTAACTCCGTCCTATTGCACGTTCTCTCTTTCTCTGTTGCGACAACTCACGACCGACACCGTGCGTGGTCCCTCTGCGACTGTCGGTCCCGCTCCTAGCCGGCGCCATCGGCGTGCAGCGCCACTGCGCATCCAGCGCCGCGCATCGGCCATCATACGTACTAGCTGAATCAAACTCGATCGAGGCGCACGCGAAATGCCTCTCTCGGTCGAACGCGAAATTTATGGAAATACAAATCGTTACCGTGTATAGTTTATCATTGGGAACATTTACGCGTTTATAGCATGGACTGTTGCCCGAAATTCGGTGTACTCGTAAAACCGGCAGAAGTTAAGCAGATTTTCAATTCTATTTAAATCTCATTATGTTTACTCGTCCATTCATTTTCATCTCTTTAGCTATTTCATTTAGCAACATTTTTTTAATGGACTTCACAGATCTATACGCTTGATCGCACACTTTTATGAATATAAAGTATCGACTATTATTTCCGACCACTACCCGATACAATAAATTAATCGAAACCACATAGAGGATTAAAAAAGAATTTACCTCAAATTCAGCAACGAATCAGCGGTCAAAAGTATCATCGAAAGAATTACTTCAAAGTTCAAAGGATTATGATAATGCTGAACATGTTATTTAATTTTTGTTGGATTCACGATTCATATGTGACGATTAAACAAACGTCGACGTTCCACATTTATCAGATTTATACGTGTTTCTGTAATTAAATCCCTTTCCAATCGTTATCAAACGGTTTCATTCACCGCGAATCGTCTCGTTACATTCACTGCCCGTTCCAATATTACACAAGATTTATACCCATGATTTTCCCTTTCCGCCTCGCGTCCCTACCCGCGCACGGCGATCCATCGAACAGAAATTAAGTCCCATTTATACATTCGACCGCGTTCCGCCGATCTTTATTCCGAATCCGATTCCTCTATCGCTGTCCACGATCCCTTTTACCCTCACCACGTTCGTCTACAACGACACACGTGCGATCAAACAACTTCGCGCAAATATTTTCCATTTTTATAGACGCCCGCTCGTGACTAACAGCTTTGCGTCGCGATCGGCGGTTCTGTTGCCTTTTCCGTACGCAGTTGCTTGCGAAACACCGGTATATGTATGTGTACCTTGCGCATGCACTGCAGATGATGTCCCGAATCACGATGCTACACTATGTACCAACAATGTCGGACCCAGGTCTGATAATTAAAGAAACAAGAAAATATTATTCTACGTAGATTTAATAAAAGCATTAAATGAAGTAGATTTACTGCCTCCCGTATATCAAAATTAAAAATTTCAAGTTATTCCGTCCATACAATGAAAAAACTACGTTTTTATTGTTCTAAAATGAAGGAAAATACTTATTATTTTTTACCTAGGTTTAACTTTTTATGCCCTGTTCGTATAACTTGGAACGTATCCTACTACTGTACACTACTTTCACAAATTTTATTATATCGTTACAGAACAAGGAGTCACCGTTCCGTCAATCACGAATTCTAGTCACATACCTTTTATCCGGTAGCGTGTATCTCGATGCAAGCAAATCAATTGTTCCCCGGTTTCGTGCCATCGCGATATCGTGTTCGTTCAGGTATATACATATACGCACGTAGAGAGATCACGAATTAAAAAATTGTAATGGATCAGGCAATAATTGATCCCGGCTCGTCGTCGAGTCATCACCGCGCAATAAAGATGAGGCCTCTATCGTTAAACATGCCATCCGTATCGGGGCGATGAATACAAAAAAATTGTAATTCTCCTTTACGTTCTCGCGCTGCTCGATTCTTTTAATGCGACAAGAATCCTGAAAATTGACCGGCGACCCGGTGGATCGGATCGAGCCAGCCGCGGCGACAGCGGCTGCGCGTTATAATATCGGAGCTTCGTTATTACGCCCGCGGCGCCCCGTTATTACGCATATATTAGCGTGCGCCAGGTATAGAGATACAAGGAAATGAAACCATTATCGAGGTGTACAGAACGGATCCCGATTCCGTGGAAAGCTACGCGCTGGATTACTCGCCGTTCACCGTCGCGAGATTATCGTTACGAGGGGGGTGGGGGGTTGGAGAGGACGATCCTCGCGTTCAAGAGCAATCTTTATTATTCCCCGAAGCATGGTCTTCCTTTTGCATACACCCGGTGATTCGAATCTCGGGAAACGAGCTGCGTAATCGGAATGTATTTATCGGACGCGGAATTGCATTCCGTTGGGCGTCGAGATGGGTTTCTCGTGCCCGGTTTGTTCGGTGAGTTTCAGTTTCTAAATACCATCCCCCAACGTCCTACAGTTAACCATTTCGACTGTTATAACCCCGCGAACGTTTTGAAATTTCGTTTCAGCTCCCTGGTTCTCCCCTTGATCCGGCGCTGTACAGAAGACATGGTACACCGCGAAGAATCGATGTTCCGTGAGCGTAAATCTCGCCGAAAAAAAAATTCATTACACACGCATAGCCGCAGCCACTTCGATGCTCGTTACTCTCCACGGATTTCCTTTTCCCTCGTTCGCGAACCGTTCTCTGCTTGAAACCACGCGTGCACACATAGAGAAACGTGCCCGGAAAAGCCGCGTAAATCATTTTTTTCCGGCTCTAACCTTTGATTTAGAGGAAAAACGGCTCTCGGAATCTCGCGCGCGCGCGGCTGTGCATGTAAATGCATCGCGCGAAACTTTCACGAGTTCCATTACGCCTGTTCCTTTCTCTGTCGTTGCGCAATCCCGACAGTTTGGAACATATTCATACTGGGTAAAACACGGGGAAGGGAGGGGAGGACGATCGAAACGTGGATAATTGCGGAACACCGTGGAACACGATCGAGAGATGAGCCATTACGAAATCTGTTTCGTTTCGTAGGTTCGCGCAGCAGCCGTAGACGATGGTGGCGGCGAGTTGGGTTCGGCTGACGGAGGCGGAAAACTTTTGTGGTAAAGTATCGGAGACAACGAAATCCCGACAATTTATATCCTTGGAATCCTGCCAGGATCCTCCAGCCGGGGGTTCTGCCGGCCGCAGATCCAGGAACGAAAAATGTCAAATAGGAGACCGCCGAGAGTCTACCCTCCCTTCAGGTGCTATGTCGAGGGAACCCGGGACCAGGGATCGGTTGGCGACCGATCGGCTGGGCCATTGCCTTTTCGATACTGCGAAACACTTCGTCTCTGACAGGAGATGTCCTCCGTAAAATGTCGGGGTAAATTATCAGATTCTACGAAGGTACAGTTATTATCGTTGAGGTTTTATTTTCTTTTTTTTACTCAAGTTTACTCTTGAGGGTATTTCGCTAACATTACAGCTACTAGCTTCATCAGGGGGTCAATCAGCTGAACAATTAAAAATGTTTTTTGATTGGTACACAATGAATCGGAAGAAGCAAGTTCATTCGGGAAACTGTGAAGCGAAACGATCCACTGGCAACTTCAGCTTGTCCATGGCAAACGTCCGCCCGAGTGTGGGGCAGCAACAACAACGACTGTAAATTTGCCCACATCTTCATGTGCCACTTCCTTTACGGCGTATATTTACGTTCGCTTCTAAACGACCGTTCCACTTGTTTAGTGAGATCACATTCGTGGCCACGTCCGAAAATACAGCTGTTCACGATTCACGAGGAATGGCCGGAGCTCGATCCTCGTGTAGTCGATGTATTCTTCTCTCGTAATGCAACTTTAATCGTTGTTGGAGCATCGAAGTTCGCGTGTTCCTGGTACTTGGTTCCCGGAGAAACCGCACAGACAGTGCATTATAAAACGGGCGGAGAGGGGACTGGTCCCGACACCCTTGCCCATCGTGCTTTTTACCGGTTCCGCGAAGTCTCGTTAACGACGTCATGGTGATCGACATTGTTTCACGACGAAAGACGGTGGAAAGAAACGGGCTCTTCTGGAGGCACGAAAAAAGTCGCTGGACGGCAGTTTTTACCCGGTCGTTTTTGAGCACAGACGCCCTTCGAGGATCCATTCGTGTTTCGACGTGGAATCGTTTGGCAGTGTATGGTAGCTTAGAGATTTTTAAGCTTTTTTGGGGGGGATTTATTGAAATTTCCGGTTTCTCTCGCGGATAGGGAATAGAAACAGTAGTATACAGGGTGTCCCGTGATAGCGTCGCCACAGAATTTCAACACTTTCCTTGGACTTTACGAGACGATTGATCCTCTCCGAGAGGAGCAACCACTTGGTCATGTTCGATCATCTTCGGTTCGCCGGCAGGGGAAGATACGGGTGTACCTACAATCAACCTGCCACGCTCTGCCCCGATTCTGCAGGGGACACACGCCATCCCCCTCCGTTCGAGTCGCCATAGAAACGAAGGGACGATGACGACGTCGCGTCGACAGAGGGTGCAAAAGCCACGATGCTTAGAATAATGCGGCGCACGACGCGCCGGCTCCGGATGGAAATGGATCTCCGGACCCGGTAGGTATTACCCCGGGGCGGTAACTAGCGGAGATACGATGTAACGACGCCGTTCGTAGCGTCGTAATCGCGATCGGGTCGAAACGCCGTGTGACGGGAATGGACAATCGGAGTCGCGGCTTCGATCGATGGAGAATCTTCTCCACCCTTTATTCGCCCGATTATACCGATATCCCGGAACTTGTTCTATTTAGGGAGCGGGCATAACTTTAACGGATACGAAAATGAACGTCGTCACAGTCGAGGCCAAAGACGGATGAAGAGTACATTGCGTTTCGTCGATCGTTATTTCCCCTTTCATCCCGCAAGAGAGGGGACGAATCAT